CTTGGAGGGAGTCCTCTGCCTCCCTCCCTGCCAGCCGCCTGCTATGCTTCTCCGACCCCGATCCTTTTCCAGGCCCCAGGCTCCCTCGTCTTGATTCCTCCTTTCAGCCTGTCAGTCTTTCTCTCCCCTGGGAGGGCGCCACATATCTGAATTTTTTCTTAGTTTGTGAGTGACTCTGAGTAAATCTGTTATTGTTGTTATTGTGTACGATCGAATCAGAAAGAACTCATAGCTGACCCTCCAGCGGATTTTCAGAGGCAGTTTTAATTGCACGGGTGGAGATCGGCCCTCTTTGTCCAGTGAAGCCCTTGGATTTGAACTCCATGCCTTTGAGATTGCAGCGCAGCTCCTTAGCAATAGGCTACCAGAGTTCCCTTGTGGGTGACTCTGAAGGTGGTTTGCTTCCCTGCATGCTAACCCCACTGACTTGCCAAGATGATGACTTACATGTGCACGTTCAGTATGTTTGATCTAACTACTCTAAATGTAAATGGCGCTCTGTAAGACCAGAACTTGGCCTCTACCATGCCTTATACCAGCAGCCCTGAGAGTGGGTCCCTAGATCCGCATGATCAGCATTACCTGGGAATTTATTTTAAATGGATGTTTTCGGCCAGCCTGAAGCAGAATCTGATTCAGTAGTTTGTGTTTTAACTTCCTGTCTCCATACCTTTTCAACCTGTATGCAGAACAAATTATCCAGGAGGCTGGGCTCTGTGAGGAGAATTGTGGGGTCAGTACTGGTAGAAGATCTATAAACAATCTGCATTATGCAGATAACACAACCCTGCTTGTTTAAACAGAGGAGGACTTGAAGCGTTTGCCATGGAAGGTCAGGGACTGCAGCCTTCAATATGGATTGAAGAAGCTCAACAGAGAAAACAAAGATTCTCACTACTGGGTCGATTGGCAGCAACATGATGGATGAAGAAGAGATTGTGATTGTTCGCAGCTTCAGTTTGCTTGGCTCCACAATCAACACTCTTTGTACCAGCAGCCAGGAAATTAAAAGAGGAGTTGTGCTGGTAAAGTTTGCTGTCAGAGATATCTCCAAAGTACTGAAGAACAATTATGTCAGTCTGAAGACTAAGTGCACCTGATTCAGGTCATGGTCTTTGCTATCACTTGTTATGCATGAAAGTTGGACAATGACAAAGAGGATAGAAGGAGAATTGATACCTTTGAGCTGTGGTGCTGGAGAAGAGTATTGAGGGTACCATGGACTTCTAGGAAAACAAACAGTTTCATCCTGGAGAGGGTTAAACTGGGTGGCTCCTTGGAGGCAAGGATTCTGAGGCTCTCTAACATACTTTGGACGTGTTGTAAGGAGGTACCGGTCCTTGGAGAGGGACATCATGCTTGATAGAATGGAGGGACAGCACAGGAGGGGAAGGCCCTCTATGAGGTGGATTGATTCAGTGACTGGGGTAATTGGGATGGGAGTGCAATTGGCGCAGGACAGAGCAGAGTTTAGGGCTGTTGTACATAGGGTCGCTATGAGTCGCAAGCAACTCGACGACACACAGCAACATTTTAAAAACACTCTTCTATATCTACCTCTTTGAATATTCTTTTCATGTGGTTAGCTCACACTCAACTCTGCCCTCAAGGTGGCTTCAACTCAAATATGGCACTCAAGCACATTTTCTGAGGCTGTAAATTTCACAGGCAGAGATTGTCCTTCTTTCTCCCAAGGAGCTTTTGATGGATTTGAACCGCCAGGAAGATTTGCCTTTGGGTTAATAACACAACTCCCTAGGGATGTTGCCACCAGGCCTCTCATTAAACATAGTTGTTGTTATTGTTAATTGTTGTCCCATCAGGTCAAGCACAACTCATAGGGACCCTGTGAATAACAAATCTGAACCCTGTCCTGTCTTGTGCCATCCTCATCAGCTCTGACACACTTGAGTCCATTGCTACAGTCACTGCGTCAACCCATTTTATTGAGGATGTTCCTCTCTTTTGCCTACTTTCCACCTTTCAAAGCATGATGTCCCTTTCCACGGAATAGCCTATCTTAGAAACATGTGAAAAATATGTGAGACAAAGCTTCACCATCCTTGCCTCCAAGGATCACTCTGGTTGCACCTTATCCAAGAGTTGTTTGTTCTTTTGACAATCTATGGGATTTCAGTACTATTCTCCAACATCACAACTCAAAGGCATAAATTTACTTCTGCCGTCATTATTCAGTGTGTTCTCAGAGGCATAGCAAGTTAATCAGGTACACCTTAGTCTTTAAATTGAAAACATTGCTCCTTAGTATTTTAAAGAGATCTTGACAGCAGACTTTCCCAATGCAACACATTCTTTGAGTTCTTAAGTATAGTACCAAGGAAGTTGATTGTGTATCCAAGTAAGATGAGATAAATATTTGAGAATTTAAGATTTTTTCCTCCAACTATTGCCTATTGACCTAGAAGTGAGAATTTTTCTTTTCTCGATGTTGAAATGCAGTCTTTGATCTTCTGCAGCAAGTGCTTCAAGTCCTCCTCACTTTTAGCAAGCATAGTTGTGTCATCTTCATAATTTAAGTATTTGATGAATTTTACTCCAATCTTGATGCCACATTCCTCTTCATAAAATTCAGCTTCTTGAATGGTTTGATCAGCATGCAGATTGAATAAGTGTGGCAGAGGATACATCTCCGAAGTGCACAC